CTCTCACTCTTGTCGCAAGGGATACAGGTTTGTTTCTCTCTTCCCTTGTTTGCTCTACCCCTTGAGAATTTTGTACATAAAGAGTGTAAGCAATAATAGACAGGGTAGTGATCCGGGGCAACACAATCCTTTTCAATCTTCCAAAATACTCCTCAATCAACTCTCTTTCATCATCCCTACTCAATCTCCTATCATACCCTTTTACAGTCCCCCGAATCATAAAATAGCGAGTCAAGTCTATAACAAATATCGCAAGAGCAAAAAGACCAGATGGGAGAATTTCATGTTTCAGAGGGCCTCAAGTAAATGATTTCTTGGATGAGTATGAATTGTTTGGGCTCAGTTATGGCTGGACAGACAAGCAACGACTCAAGCACCTTCTATCCTATTGTGACACTTACTCGAGGTTGGTTGTTCAATAGTTGATGGAAGGGGTCACTACATGGGCAAAGATCAAGGAAAAAATGAAAAGAGAATTTGAGAAAGACTCAGTTCCAATTACAACTAAGGATTTACTCAACATTAGAAGAGCTAAGTATGACACTTTCAATGTTTTTCTTCAAACCTTTATCCGAACAGCAAGAAGAATCCCATATTCGGACGAAGCCCAGAGGCGCCATATATTTCTGACTAATTTTACTGACACTGAAAGGCAGACAGTTCTTAATCAGACTCAACATTATCCTCTCAGATGATATCAAATAGTTGCAATTCTCAAAACCTTGCCTACGGTCTCTCACAAGAAGTGGTCTCTGGATCAGATCAGTACGTTGGCCAAAGACAAGGAGACAGAGAATGACCTATGCAGAGGTAATCATCTGAATGCTGAAAATATTATTCAGAGGGTTATGGCTAACTACATGCCTGCCAATCATGCTGTGGATGAAAAAAGGAAGAAAAAAGGCAGAAAGTGATGATGATGAGGACGATGATCATGATGATGATTATGGTAAAAGAGCGGATTCCTTTAGATCCATGAAGAATGGAGGGAATGGTGAAAAAGTGAACAGAGAGAGAAGAAAGTACGATGAGCGACCAAAGAAGAAATTTGTCTGCTATTATCGTGGTGAAGGAGGTCATATTACCACTTACTGTAAGCCACTAGAAGAGGATGTGAAGGATGGGGTGGCAAATAAGGATGCAATGGTTAATGTTTGTGACAGTTCATGGAACAAATTAGATCACAGACATCCTGGAGGTATGCGACTTCTTGCCCTTAAGCATGATGAAAAGATGAAGAAAAAAAAGAAAAGAAAGGCTAATGTGAATATACATACATTTGTAGGCGAACTACCTAAGGGACTCATACAATAGCCTGATGATTCACTTGCCTTAATTGAGTTGCCTCTACGGTCTCTCTCTTTAGTGGAGGACGTGACTGGTGATATTATTTCAGGTGGACTTTTGTTAGGAGAGATATCGGCTCCTCAGATTTATTCTGAGTTGGCAGTATTTTCTCCTAACAAGCCTACTTGTTGGACTAACATGATGTCATTTGAAGGTGACTTACGACTTGAACTTGTTATGGAACCGGATCCAGTGATTGGGAAAATGAGGAATGTTCATGCACATTTAACCCCCCAAATGATAGAAGAAAAGAAAAGAAGGAAGGCTAAGGAATCTCTGATTGAAATCCTTGACGACCAAGAACCCGAACCTTTAGTGAAAAGAAATGAGCAAGAGAAGAAGATAAAGTTCTTACTCAAGAGTGAACTAGAGGATGAAACTGTAATTACTGATGTAATTACTAAGATGTTGGAAGAAACAGAGGTGACATTGTCCTTCAAAGAGGCAATGACACTACCACCCAAGTTGAGAGAGGAATTGAAGAAATTAGTTGAAAAGAAGAGAATGAAAGTTAATTACTTGGGATCAGACTTTCCTAGTCAAGTCAATAGGACCTTGCCTGGATGCAAGATGAGATTCGCAACCATGGGTTGTGACTATTTAACGATCTATATTAAACAAGCAAAAATTAGAGCCTGTTGATTCTGGGGCAGAGATGATATTTATCTCTCAGAAGGCAATGGAGGCCTGTGGCCTGACTATTGATAGGCCTGCAATGCAAACTCTGACCAATATTGCTGGAGAGCTTTTCGTGGCAGGATTTACTGACCATCTGCCTATTAAAGTCGGGATGATGTCAGTCGAGCTATTGGGATTTGTGATACCAGACTTGGATCATGCCTGTATTCTGGGCACCCCGTTCTTACATAGGATGGAGGTTGTCCAGTTCTTCAGTCATGGATCAGTTTGCAAGACCCGAAAACTGCTCAAGAGCAGACTTTCGTGGTTTGTCCGGCCTACCATCACAAGCACAAGATATCAACCAATTCAATCAGAAGGGAAGAGTCCGCTGGAGGGCAAGAAAGATCAAGTGAAAAGATAAACAGGAACTTAAGGAGGAAGTCTCAGTTGATATTAATCAGATTTCAAAGATGGTAAAAGCCCTTGATAAATTCAAAGACGAAGATGGGCAGATTGAGGCATTTAAGAAAATTGTTGGGACTGCCAAGGGTGGAAAAATGGAATTGAAATTTGCATCAACTCATCCCTTTTTAGGAAAATAGTCACTGGGTCGAAAAGAACATATAAGCCTAAAGGGGTGAAGAAGAACCCAGTGGCAGTCCTAATAGAAAAGGATTATGACGAGGCACTGAAAAAAGAAAGGAGAATTATTAAGGCATTAAAATAATTTGCAAAATTTGGGAATAGAGTCACCAGGGAAAGGTTTAACACGATAAAGATAGGCTCCGCTCAATTTATTCTGCCTAAAGAGAAGGAATATATCTTCGAGGTGTGTCAAGAGTTCTCTGGTGCATTCTCTTTTAATGATAAAAAGAGGGCGACTGGATGTGGATATGATTAAGATGGCAAAAATCTGGACAGTTGATCACATCCCATGGAATGATAGACCAACTAAGTATGCCCTGAAAGAAGAAGCAGAAATGGTAAAGTACCTTGACAAGAAAATTGCCTCCAATGTTGTTGAACCTGCTGATGGACCGTATGCTAACCATTGGTTTTGCTTTTGGGAACCAGGGGGTGGATTGAGATGGATACAGAATCTCCAGAAGCTCAACTCAGTAACGGTACGTGATGCAGGTAGCCTCCCTAATGTTGATCTCCTTTCTGAATCTTTTGCTGGTCAATGCATTTATTCTTTAATTGATTTGTATTCTAACTATGATCAGTTTCCCATTGATCCCACTAGCCGGCCAATGACTGCCATGCACACGCCAAGGGGCCTCATTCAGATATGTGTAGTGCCTCAAGGCTGGACTAATGGTGTCGCAGTGGTTCAAAGGGATATGATCAAAGTCATGCAGGATATCTCCCCTGAGATAACCAGTCCCTATATTGATTATAATCCTGTGAAAGGACCTATGGTAAGAGATGAGACTTTGGTTGGGGATGGCGTCAGGAAGTTTGTTGGGGATGGCGTCAGGAAGTTTGTCTGGGAGCATGCTGAAGGTGTAAAGTTGATCCTAGAAAGTCTTCAGAAGTATAATCCGACTACCAGTGGACCAAAGTCGCTTCTCTTCCAATCAGAGGTCACCATTTTCGGCTTCAAATGTTTCTCCAAGGGTAGGAGCCCCGAACCCAAGAAGATAGACAAAATTTTGAACTGGCCTTTGCCCCTCAAACGGGTGACAAAAGTCAGGAGTTTCTTGGGTGTCTATGGGTTCTGGAGGATTTTCATTCCCCATTTTGCTACTCTTGCAGAACCACTGAGGGAAATGGTGCGACAAGGGGCTGATCTATCTTGGACTGAGAAAAGGCAGACTGCTGCAGAAACTTTGCAGGAAAAATTAAAAGATGGTGGTGGTGTGTTGGGAATGCCTTTTTATGATGATGAGAAAGGAAGATCTTTCATCATCGAGGCAGATGGAGGACCGGTTGCTCTGTGTTACATACTTCAATGAGTATGGGCAGAACCAAAGATCAACCAATATAGGATGAGCATTTATGCAGCGGAAGTCTGATAACGAACTGACTCACATAGACTGACTCACATAGACTGACTCACATAGACTGACTCACATAGACTGACCTACATGGCATCACTCCACACACATACAATCATGAGATGGTGGGGTCTGGGTCATTCATAGACGATACCCAGATCTCGTACATACATACACAGATGAAAGGTGGGAGGAGAGACGAAGGAGGTAGGAGGTAGATCACACCGATAGGTCACAAGATAGAGTCTGGTAGGTCTCCGAAATGGTAGTCCAGAATGTCATATAACAAGATCAAAATGT